TCTTCTAGTTTGTTGGATGGTTAGCATATTATCATCATTTCACATAGAACCATTCAGTCCATAACTGCTCGGATTCCCTCCTCGTTAAATACTTTCAGTCCACATGCCAGTGGTTTTTATATGAGAAGGCCACAGGCCCCTATAAATGCGCAATTAAGAATCGACATCACAATACTCGGGACACTTCCATAAGTGCTCAGTCCCTTCAGCAGCAAACGAAAAGTTCCAATTCCGATGGTACCAGTAACCGTCGGATTGCATATCCGTCTCATCATTCTCCTGAGTACTGAGCGTCGGCCACTTTCCCTGGTAACTCCTCGCAGCGCTATTATCCTTAAACCGTAATGATCTATCTGCGCCTCTGCACTGTTCACTCGCTTCCAAAGGGCCTTTACAATATCTAACTTGTTATAAATCATTTCACCACCAAGTGGTGCAGAGCCAGCCACAGACAGTCTATCTACTTGCTCATTTCCCAACACACCGGCATTACCTGGAGAAAATATCAAAAGGATGCTAACAACTTGGGACCTCTGAAGTGATGCTTGCCACTCTGCTCGAAGCATGTCTGTGTCCCCCTTTCTCAACAAGCTCTGTGAGTCCGTTACAATCACTGCATGTGTGTACAGCTGAATCTCAAGCCAGTGGAAGGCAGCAGTGACTGCCTCCACCTCCATTCTCAAACTAGACGTTGAGATATATGCAAGGTTTTGTTGCACTAGGCGACTCCCATTCGCCTTTGCTATGAAGCCCCATTACACTTCGTCTATCCATAAACACAGAGCCATCTGTATATACAAACACATCACTTGGGCGGGAATTGTCATGAATCATTTGTTCAACTTCTGATTCTTCAGCACCAGCTGGCCAGTCTCTGCAATCACGACCTAACGTGATTAGAATCCTACACAAGTCTGAAACTTGTTCGGACACCCTGACCCACTCCTCTCCTCGCCCAAATTTATCAAAGCCTGCACACATGTCCAATTGTGTCTTCAGCTTGTGCCATTCAAGACCTTCCTGTTTTCATCTGGATCCTTATCTATACCCAGGGCTTCATGCAGGAGGTGCCTCTTGCCAGCAGCTAGTTTGAGATTTGATGACTGCTTGCAGAACTTTGAGCCTATCTGCAATAGCAGCTAGATACTCTGATGCAGCAGCTAGATACTCTGGTGCAGCAGCTACTCTAGTGTAGCAGCTAGATACTCTGGTGCAGCAGCTACTCTAGTGTAGCAGCTAGATACTCTAGTGTAGCAACTAGATAATCTAGTGTAGCAGCTAGATACTCTGGTGTAGCAGCTACTCTAGTGTAGCAGCTAGATACTCTAGTGTAGCAACTAGATAATCTAGTGTAGCAGCTAGATACTCTGGTGTAGCAGCTAGATACTCTGGTAAAGCAGCTAGATACTCTGGTATAGCAGCTAGATACTCTGGTGTAGCTGCTAGATACTCTGGTGTAGCTGCTAGATACTCTAGTGTAGCAGCTAGATACTCTAGTGTAGCAACTAGATACTCTAGTGTAGCAGCTAGATACTCTAGTGTAGCAACTAGATACTCTAGTATAGCAGCTAGATATTCTGGTGTAGCAGCTAGATACTCTGGTGTAGCAGCTAGATACTCTGGTGTAGCAGCTAGATACCCTGGTGTAGCAGTTAGATATTCTGGTGTAGCAGCTAGATATTCTGGTGTAGCAGCTAGATATTCTGGTGTAGCAGCTAGATATTCTGGTGTAGCAGCTAGATACTCTGGTGTAGCAGCTAGATATTCTGGTGTAGCAGCTAGATATTCTGGTGTAGCAGCTAGATATTCTGGTGTAGCAGCTAGATACTCTGGTGTAGCAGCTAGATATTCTGGTGTAGTAACTAGATACTCACCTGCGGATCTGAAGGTTGTGGGATTAGGTTCTAACAGAGCAGGATTCACCCCCCCCCCTCCACCCTCAATTACCTTGGCTCGCCAGGTGGACCGAGCCTTAAATGAGTACTAGGTAAAGTCCTGGGAAGTAAAGGTGGCCAGCTTGACCCACCACATCACCCCCCCTCCCCCCCCCCCCCCCGATTGCTTACTGGTCAAGCTCTATATGCCTTATAAGCTGGAAACCTTTACTCCATTGATAAAGACTTTGATAGTAATGTTCATCTGTATTTGTGAGAATCTTTTCCATTCCATCCATCAAGCTTTCTAGTCGCATTTTATATTGTATTCAGCACTTCCTCAGGATGTGCTCAGTATGTCTTTTGGAGATATGCAGGGTTGTTTTTCAAAGGTAAAAACAAAGGATCGGTACTAACCATGAAGGAAGGTACCAACACACACCACAGTGAAATGTTTACAAATTCTGCTAGCTGTAATAAGGGAAGATGGACTTGGAGATGATGACACCAGGAGGAGAGTCAGCACAGAAACAATACTGAACTTTACTGGTAGACAACACATCAAATGGTTTGGCCATGAAACAAGACTGGCAATGGAGACTGTACCATACAGAGCAATGTTATGCAGATACAGCTGTAACAGAGCCAGCAACCAAGCAAAAGTAGGTCACAGAAATATCACAGACACTAACAAGTACTCTTGGCTCCCAGGTCGACCCAACTTTAGAAATGAAATGACCACCCACCTAGACTCACACACACATACAAACGCATCATATGTATGGTCAGTCATGCAAACCCTACACACCTTCACCAACCCACATCTCCTCTAAACAAAACCTACAAACCCTACACACCGTCACCAACACACATCACTCAAACAAAACCTGCACACCCTCACCGACCCATATCTCCACTAAAACAAACCTTGCACACTCACCAACACAAATCTCCACTCAAACAAACCTTGCACACACAGAAGTACACCACTGTACTGTTAGCAATTCATTTTTATTTTTCTGAACTCAGTCAGGCTCAAACCTTTAAACTTTATCAAAATAATAATAAACAAATAACTTCAAAATGAGTTGGACCTTAAAAAAAAATGCCTGCTCACTAAAAGTAACCCTAAATGTGGTCAAAATTGTGTTATAATGCCTTACTCTACAAAGCCTCTTTTTATAAAGCTCTAATATAGGCTTTCTCTACAAAGCCTCTCTATATAAAGCTCTAATACTGCCATTCTCTACAAAGCCTCTCTATATAAAGCTCTAATACTGCCTTTCTCTACAAAGCCTCTTTTAATAAAGCTCTGATACTCCCATTCTCTACAAAGCCTCTCTTTAAAAAGCTCTAATACTGCCTTTCTCTACAAAGCCTCTTTTTATAAAGCTCTAATACTGCCTTTCTCTACAAAGCCTCTTTTAATAAAGCTCTGATACTCCCATTCTCTACAAAGCCTCTCTTTAAAAAGCTCTAATACTGCCTTTCTCTACAAAGCCTCTTTTTATAAAGCTCTAATACTGCCATTCTCTACAAAGCCTCTTTTTATAAAGCTCTAATACTCCCATTCTCTACAAAGCCTTTCTATATAAAGCTCTAATATTGCCTTTCTCTAAAAAGCCTCTTTTTATAAAGCTCTAATATAGGCTTTCTCTACAAAGCCTCTCTATATAAAGCTCTAATACTGCCATTCTCTACAAAGCCTCTCTATATAAAGCTCTAATACTGCCTTTCTCTACAAAGCCTCTTTTAATAAAGCTCTGATACTCCCATTCTCTACAAAGCCTCTCTTTAAAAAGCTCTAATACTGCCTTTCTCTACAAAGCCTCTTTTTATAAAGCTCTAATGCTGCCTTTCTCTACAAAGCCTCTTTTAATAAAGCTCTGATACTCCCATTCTCTACAAAGCCTCTCTTTAAAAAGCTCTAATACTGCCTTTCTCTACAAAGCCTCTTTTTATAAAGCTCTAATACTGCCATTCTCTACAAAGCCTCTTTTTATAAAGCTCTAATACTCCCATTCTCTACAAAGCATTTCTATATAAAGCTCTAATATTGCCTTTCTCTAAAAAGCCTCTCTTTATAAAGCTCTAATATTGCCTTTCTCTACAAAGCCTCTCTATATAAAGCTCTAATACTGTCTCTCTCTACAAAGCCTCTCTATAGAAAGCTCTAATACTGCCTTTCTCTACAAAGCCTCTCTTTATAAAGCTCTAATATTGCCTTCCTCTACAAAGCTCTAACACTGCCCCTCTTTTATAAAGCTCTAATATTGTATTTCTCTACAAAGCTCTTTCTTTTTAAAGTTCTAATGTTGAAATAAGTAGTAAATAAATATTTGTACAAACAATATGATAGCAAAATCATAAACATTTATAAAAATTAGACGGAAAAAACAAAACCATAAAGAGCTACATTTCAAGCATTCTTGAAATGTCAGCATAGGCATAGGCCACAGCCATGGGTGGGGGTGGGAGGGGGGGGGGGGGGGGATTGAAACAGTGAACTGAAAGAAGAGATGATCTACCCACATTTTTTCCAGTCTAATTTCATGGACAGCAGTGAAATGAAAAAAGAGATGATCTACCCACATTTGTATAGTCTAATTTCATGGACAACAGCGAACTGAAAGAAGAGATGATCTACCCACATTTCTCCAATCTAATTTCATGGACAACAGTGAACTGAAAGAAGAGATGATCTACCCACATTTCTCCAGTCTAATTTCATGGACAGCAGCGAACTGAAAGAAGAGATGATCTACCCACATTTCTCCAGTCTAATTTCATGGACAACAGCGAACTGAAAGAAAAGATGATCTACCCACATTTCTCCAATCTAATTTCATGGACAGCAGTGAACTGAAAGAAGAGATGATCTACCCACATTTCTCCAGTCTAATTTCATGGACAGCAGTGAACTGAAAGAAGAGATGATCTACCCACATTTCTCCAGTCTAATTTCATGGACAACAGTGAACTGAAAGAAAAGATGATCTACCCACATTTCTCCAGTCTAATTTCATGGACAACAGTGAACTGAAAGAAAAGATGATCTACCCAAAAATTTCAAGTCTAATTTCATGTATAGCAACATAGCAATGAACTATAGATAATCTACATAGATTATTTCATATCTAGGTCTACATAGAAAACTTCCAGCCATGTCTTGTTTGTTTCATCTACACCAGTCTGTTTCAGTTCAGCAGGCAATTCTTGGCTATCCCCCTTCTTCTTTTTCTTCCTCGCCTGTCTCCGCGCTTTCACCGTGTCTTGCTGACTATTGCTAGCATCTCCAACATTTGAAGCTTCACTGACCACAGACGATTCTTTCACTGGCTTTTTACAACCTCCCTTAGACTTTGCCGTGTTTCCCTGAGTTTCTTTTAATTTGCGTTTGTTCTTTGGACCAGCACCGTCTTCAGGCCCTTCTCCGCTGACGGCCAGATTCTTTAGAACAGCACCGTCATCTGGCCCTTTTCGCTTGACCGCCAGACTGACTGCCGAGGCATTTCTGGAACCACCAGCATCCTCTTTGAGATACTCAAAATCCTCAGTGCGACTTACAGCAATCTCTTGGCTTCTAAACTCTGCACATTCCTTTGATGCATCTGGTAGATCTCTGAAGTCTGTGCTGCTTTTATCACCATGGCAGCTTCCGGTTTCAATGATGAGAGCATTATTTTCATCATCATCCTCACCGTTGGCAGTAACTGACTGGGCCGATAGGTCCTGTCCCAAAACCTGCTGACTGACCTCAATACTTTCATATCGAATTGTCTGTAGCCGGCGGACTCCGTCTTCATGTAATTTGTACCTGCGGAAGAAAAATATGATTATCAACAATTTTCATGTTAGTTAGTCTTTCCGCTTGAGTCTAGGGTGACACATAGGGCAGAGGTCATGGCACTCCATGTGTGGCAGTTGGTTTCCTCATGTTTTAGGTTTGTGATTTGATTAGGTCAGTTTGAGCCTTCCTGATGATGTTTCTCTGCAGAGTCTCTCTTGGTCTTTCCGGTTTTCTTCTGACCTTTGGTGTCCTTCAGGGCCTGAAGGGGAAGTCTGGTCGTATCCATTCTTAGTGCATGGCCGATGTAGTTATAGCTGCACTTTCTTGTAAAATTCGATACATTATCCTGCCCGGTCTCTTATCTTATTTGCATATTGGATCTGAAATCTGTCCAGTGAAGATTGGGTATTCTTTGAAGATATTTGTCCTCAAAACTGTCTAATTTTTCAAATTTAGAGCTAACGTTGCTTTCAAACTCTGGCATCCATAAGTTAGCATTGTTAGTGCAAAAGATTTTATATATTCTTGTTTTTTTAACTTTCCCCAGCTGTCAACTGCAGCTCACAGACGTAAAAATTAGAGCAGCCACCATGTGGGTGCCGGGACCCCATTTCATGGTAAAAAAAATAATAATAAACCCATTGTCCCCACACCCCCCTTCCCCACACCCCATCAAGCATGTCATACAAGGCAACTAATTATGGGTGTTTCCTTTAAAGTCAGAGTGCATCTGCCTGAGAGGCGAGGAACCAGTAGTCTGCATACAAATAAGCCAGATTTGTAACACGGATGTGCACACAAAACTCAAGTTCTGGAACAGGATCAAAGTCTAGAAGTTTCCGCCGGTGAACGCTGAGAAGAAAAAGAAGATAGCAGCAATAGAAAAATGAGTACGAATACATGGGGAAAGGAGAAGAAGGCATAGGTGATGAAGATGGATTAGTTCGAACAAAAACAACAGAAGAAAGAAGGAGACATAGAAGAAATTTAAAAAAAAGAAGCAGAAAAAGGAAGACAAAGAATAATAAAAAACAGCAGCAGCAGCGCTAGAGTAAGAAGAAAAACGAGGAGGTGGTGGAAGAAGAAGAAGAATTAGGGAGTTCAAATAAAAAAAGAGGAATAAGGATGAGATAAAGGCCAACAAGGAGGGGGATTTAAAAAAAAAAAAATATATATAAGGTACAGGAAAAAAAAAGGTTCACACAAAGTTAAATTAAACATGATGTTACTAAACACTTAAGACTAAAGTAACATAATGAAAAAGATGCATACAGTGTCTACCACAAACAGCTCTGGTATGCGGACACAGAGAAACAAGACCTACCTGAAGCGCTTGTGTCCGGAAGGCCAGCGGTAATTGTGCACCTCCTTCAGGTGCATGGTGAGATACCAGCCTCGCACAAATGGTTTTGAGCAAATGTGGCATTCGTAGTCCTTGCATACCTGAAAACCATGAAAATGATCTAAAGTCAACTAGGCCTTGTGTGTACGAGGGTAAAGGAAAGAAGCAAAGAGCAGTAACATATAGGAGTAGAAAGGGAGGCAGAGAGACAGGAGGTAAACATGAGAGAGACAGACAAACAAAAAAAGAGAGAGAGAGCACAAGACAGACATCTACATGAGAGAGACAGACAAACAGAAAAAGAGAGAGAGAGGACAAGACAGACATCTACAGGCACATGACAGAAAGGCAGACAGACAGACACACATTTATGAACAAACTTTATTTTCATACACGCCTGTCTTACATTCAGCCCTAAAGACAAAAAAGGAGACAGATGCACAACTACAGAATGAAAAGGAGACACACACTAGAGACACAAAAGCAGACAGAGACACACTAACAGATACAAGACAGAAAGGGAGATGGACACACCAACAGACAGAAAAGGCGATAGAGAAACAAATATACTTAGGACAAAGAAGGGGAAGACAGACAATATTTTTTTTTCTTTTTTCTGTCATTGGATGCTCTTTATTGTTTAAGTTTCTGGTGAAGTATAGTTGGCAGTTGAATTCAGAAAAAAAGAAAACAAAGTTTGATGGACACGCTTGGTTGCGTGTATTAGAATAAAACTATGTACACATACTGCAATATTCACTTTTTAAAAAAAATCCTGTGCCACCAGTGACATCATTTGCTTTCTACTTGACCATATATCATTCATGATATTAATTTTAAAAAGACAGACAATATACTTAGGACAAAGAGGGGGAAGACAGACAATATACTTAGGACCCAAAAAAAAAAAGGGAGACGGACACAGATATGCTTAGGACAAAAAGGTGCAGACACAAATATACTTAGGATAAAAAGAGGGAGACAGAGATAAATATACTTAGGACAAAAAGGGGAAGACAGAGACAAATATACTTAGGACAAAAAGGGGGAGACAGAGACAACTATACTTAGGATAAAAAGGGGGAGACAGAGACAAATATACTTAGGACAAAAAGGGGGAGACAGAGACAACTATACTTAGGACAAAAAGGGGAAGACAGACAGAAATATACTTAGGATAAAAAGGGGGAGACAGAGACAACTATACTTAGGACAAAAAGCAGGAGACAGACAGAAATATACTTAGGACAAAAAGGGGAAGACAGACAGAAATATACTTAGGACAAAAAGGGGGAGACAGAGACAACTATACTTAGGACAAAAAGCGGGAGACAGACAGAAATATACTTAGGATAAAAAGGGGGAGACAGACACAAATTTACTTACGACAAAAGGCCTTGGACAGACACAAATATACTTAGGACAGAAAGGGGGAGACAGAGACAAATATACTTAGGACAAAAAGGGGAGACAGACACATATTTACTTAGGACAAAAAGCCAGGGACAGACACAAATATACTTAAGACAAAAAAGGGAGCGACAGACACAGATATACTTGTGACAAAAAAGGGGGAGACAGACATAAATATACTTAGGACAAAAAGGAAGACAATGACAGAGACACTATACTTAGGACAAAAAGGGAGACAAGAAAAGAGTCACTATACTTAGGACAAAACAATGAGACAACAACAGAGATACTATACTTAGGACAAAAAATGAGAGACAAAGACTATACTCAGGACGAAAAGGAAGACAATGACCGAGATAGAACAGACCTCATGATCTGTACTGTAGTGCTCCATCAGCTCCTTCTTGGTCTTGAACACCTTCTCACAGTCAGGCCTGGTGCAGGAGTAGGCCTCCTTGGTCACATGCGACAAGCTGTGCCGCCTCAGGTCTGTCGCGCTCTTTGCTCTGTCACAGCAATTAAAAAAAAATTCCAACAATTATGGGATAAATAATACCATTTCAAGATTCTGTCCATGGCTTTGATGTTCACAACATACTCTCAAATTCTGAAGCCCTTGTTCCAATTCCCGTAGCTAACTGGCTGCAGACCGCTTGGTGTAAATTTCAACAATAGCATGGAGCGCTGAACCTTTACAAAACTCTAAGGAAATTATTACTTGGTGTGTGGAAATAAATATATACATATATGCGGCGTCCGTGGCTTAGGTGTTGCGAGTCCAACTTGTAATTCAAACGTACTACGATCGAAACCCACTGCTGGTTGCATGGATTTTTATCGTGGTATGAGGCGTTGCAGGTCGACCCAGCCTAAAATGGGTACCAGGATGTGTGTCCTAGGGAAGTGAAGACGGCCGGCCATATGCTGACCACATTACCCACCCAGTGCCGATTGGTCTGTAAAAATATGGGTGCTCTTCCTATCTGCCTGATGCGCCTAAAGGCGTGAAAAGGGATCTTTACTTTTTACACACATATATATATATATATATATATATATATATATATATATATATATATATATATATATATATATATATATATATATATATATATATAATATATATATATATATATATATATATATATATATATATATATATATATGAGATACTTAAAAAGGGTACTCAATACATATAAAAAGAGTGAAGCATTAAATAGAATACATTCACAACAGACCAGGCCGACATTCTCAATGCTCTCATGGAGGCAGGAAGAGAAGATGATTCAAGAGACAACGGTGAAGCGGCAACACTCAAAAGACTACAAGAACTTCATTCAGGTCAGAAGAGGTGATGCCAAACATAAACACTATACAGGTAGCCAAAGAAGAATAGTAGACCAACAAAGAACTGATGTTATCAGTCGTCACACGCGGATCTGCATTGCTGGGTGGTGAATTGATACATGATAAGGCAGATGTGGTCAAAGCCCTTTGGGAACAAGTAACAAAGTCAGAAGAGAAACTAGATTATTATGGGCTGGAGAGAATGATGCACCTGGGTGTGACCAGAGGGTTCGGCCAGCACATTACACTCAGAGTAAAGGCAAGACGGACATACAACCAGACTACGACCAGCACAAATAGTTTTGGATCTCTGTCTGGCTGCTGATGATGGGGACGGAGCACTCATGGAAATACCCCGAGTGATGTGATGTCAATTCAACACACGCTGTGGGATTTCCTGAAGATGGTACCTGACCACGTATGGACTTGTCCGATTTGCAATGAGGATAATCTTTCGATAAACTAACATTCATAGTACTGAAGAAGAAGTAGTAGAAGAAGAAGAAGAAGAAGAAGAAGAAGAAAAAGAAGAAGAAGAAAAAGAAGAAGAAGAAGAAGAAGAAAAAGAAGAAAAGAAGAAGAAGAAGAAGAAGAAGAAGAAGAAGAAGAAGAAGAAGAAGAAGAAGAAGAAGAAGAAGAAGAAGAAGAAAAAGAAGAGTTCCACAGCAAACAAATAAAACATACTTGTAGTCACACTGTGGACACTGGAAACTCCTCTCCTGGGAATGTCTGTATCGCACGTGGTCTCGGACAGCCGAGGGCGAATGGCAAGTCATGTCACACAGCGGACATTTGTAGTGGTTGACTGTGAACAGAAGAGCAGAAGCAACATCTGGTTTACTGTTTCTCTAGTGCAGGTTCATTTAGAGCCAGAAATGTGATTCTAAAACTAAGGATGTTTGGAACTTGTCAACTAGAAGCCTCTAAAACAGTGATTCTTAAATTGTGCGCTGCAGCGCCCCAGCAACCTCTTCACATGTGCGCCACAAAATATTCCAAGATACACGAGTTTTATTTTATTGTTTTAAATCTCTTACGTATGAATAGTCATACTTTTACTTAGGCTAGGGTGCTGTGAAAATTTGTCAATTTAAATAATGTGCCGTGACTAAGAACAGTTTGGGAAACACTGATCTACAAGCATAATGGCATCAAGTAGCTTTAACAAACTGTCAAACATCTGGAAGTCAAAGACACTCAGCAAACACACAAAACTTAAGATCTTCAACTCTTGTGTGATTAGGGTGCTAAATTATGGTTGCAAGAGTAGGAAAGCAACAGTAGTTTTAGATAAAAAAAAATTTGACAATGTCAACAACAGATGTCTTAGAAGAATACTAAATCTCCACTGGACAGGTTTCAGATCCAATACCCAAATAAGACAAGAGACCAAGCAAGAAAATGTATACAGTTTTGTAAGAAAGCGCCACTGGAACTACATCGGCCATGCACTCAGGATGGATAAGATAAGACTCCGCCATCAAGCCTTCATATGAACACCAGAAGAGATAAGAAAATTAGCAAGACCAAGAGCGAACCTATGTAGAACCATCATGAGGGAAGGCTCAACCATGGCCCTAATGAACATCAATCAACGACCTTAAACAGTTGGCAATGAACCACCAGACATGGAAAGCTGTGACCTCTGCCCTATGCACCACCCTATGCGGCTAAGTGAAGGTTCATATCCTTGCATGTGCAGGACTGCAGGCTGCACTGGGCAGGTGAGACCATTACAGGTGCCTTATTTATGTAACGTCTTTGGAGCCTGAATGGGGTAGTTTAGATCTCTCCTGTTGGTCTGTCATCCAGACTGACATTTTATCTTCTCATGGTTTCAAACCTTCAGGCAGCAGCATGGAAGGGACAGCAGAAAAAAAGAAGAAGAAGAAGAAGAAGAAGAAGAAGAAGAAGAAGAAGAAGAAGAAGAAGAAGAAGAAGAAGAAGAAGAAGAAGAAGAAGAAGAAGAAGAAGAAGAAGAAGAAGAAAAAGAAGAAGAACAAGAACAAGAAGAAAAAAAAGAAGAAGAAGAAGAAGAAAAAGAAAATCCAGTTGGTTGGAACAATCTTCCAACAATCTTCTTATTAGTTCACCAGCTGTTAGCTCTGGTGAAAAGTCCTGGTTATCGTCAATTTGGACTTTGGCTCTGTGCCAAGGCCTGAGTTTTGCATGTACATTCGTTTTGCTGGCTTATTTGTGTCCAGTCGGTTGTTCCTTGCCACTTGGGCAGATACACTGTGACTTCGAAGGAAGCTCCCAAACAGTCGACTCTTATGGCATGCTTTTAATTTGTTTGAGTAGGTAGTGGTTCTATTCTTGTTTTCCTCACAACAGAGCCCCAGGGAAACTCATCTATAATGATTCAGTGTTGTGTTGACTACATCATTCGACTTGAAACAACTATCTGTCAGCCTGTCTACCATCAGGGAACTTGAAACAACTATCTGTTTGCCTCTGTCTACCTTCAGGGAACTTGAAACAACCATCTGTCAGCCTCTGCCTACCATCAGGGAACCTGAAACAACCATCTGTCAGCCTCTGCCTACCATCAGGGAACTTTAAACAACTATCTGTCAGCCCCTGTCTACCATCATGGAACTTGAAACAACCATCTGTCAGCCTCTGCCTACCATCAGGGAACCTGAAACAACCATCTGTCAGCCTCTGCCTACCATCAGGGAACTTGAAACAACTATCTGTCAGCCCCTGTCTACCATCATGGAACTTGAAACAACCATCTGTCAGCCTCTGCCTACCATCAGGGAACTTGAAACAACCATCTGTCAGCTGCTATCAAGCTCAGTCTACCACCTGCCATCCTAGTTAGGCCCCAATTTCTTTCCCGAGGACAATCGCATGAGGTCTAAGACTTACCATGGTGTCTCATGTGCTCCCTGAGGATCCTCTCCGAAGCAAACCTATTGTTGCAGTGAGAGCACTCAAAGTTCAATTCTGGAAGTAGAAAAAAAGGGACAAAATGAAATAATAACAGCAATAATTTAATGCAGAGAACTACTTATTGTATGATACCCCATAATGTGAAACCATCTAAATACTTATTGTATAAAGCACCATAATGTGTTTAATAATCTAAATGCTGATTGTTAGAGGAACTATAATATACAACAGTCTAAAAAAACAATCTATAAATACTTACTGTATGAGACACCATAATGTGAAAAAATCTAAATAATTACTGTATGAGGCACCATAATGTGAAACAGTACTTACTGTATTAAAAAAACACTAAAATCTAGAATAGTCTAAATAACTTAATTGTAATTGAAACATATTACATAGGTAGTAAGATAACATGTGTGTGTTTGTGTGTTTGTGTGTGTGTATATATATATATGTATATGTATTTGAGTATGCATTCTGTTGTAGACGTGTACAAGGCTGTATGCCTGTATTTCTTCTTCTTCTTCTTCTTTGCGTTCACCAGCGGTAAACTCTGGCGGAAAGTTTTTAGTGTTCATCCACTTTTGGACTGCAGTCCTGTTCCAGAACCTGAGTGCTGCGTGTGCATCCGTTTTACAGATGTGACTCATTTGTATGCAGACTGTTGGTTCCTTGCCTCTCAGGCAGATGCACTCCGACCTCGAAGGAAGCTCTCAATTAGTCGACTCTTACGACATGCTTTTGGGTAGGCAGCGGGTCTATTCTCGTTTTCCCCCTCTAACAGGGTCCCGAAACCCACGCGGGATATGTCTGTATGTATAAGGGTAGGTGGGGTGGGGGTGTATGTGCGTTTTAATGTGCTTTCCCCCTCTTCTGGCAGTGCACAACAGTACACGGCACCGGCACCCTCTGTAGGCATCATTTTGTTTTCAGCACTATTGTAAAAGACATTTTATGGTCAGTATCGGCACCCTTTCAGACACTTTGTGGAAAGTACAACCATTTTTTACTTCTTTAAAAAAAAAAATACTATGTACGTACAGTATCCATCCATTTATCAGTCAGCCTGCCTATCCCAGGTACTGCTGTTATTAGAAATGACAAACGTAGCTACCTTCTTCATATTATTGTTTTCATCATTATAATAAAAAAAATGCTTTATGTGGGTGCCAGGTTCAATCCTAGGAGGTAACAGCGGCCGGTGTGATGCTGACCACATCACCCACCAAGTACCGATAGGTCTTTAGAAAACAGGTCTAGCCCTATATACCCAATACGCCTAAAGGCGTAGAAAAGGGTCCTTCACTTTACTTATTATTATTAATATTATAAGGCAAAAACATACAAACTGGGAAGAGCCAACTTTTACAAGTTTTAAACTCGCTGCCCCGGACAGCCGACAGCCCCTCGATGCGGTTCCCTGAAAGGTAGCAATGTTCATGTAATCAGTCATGAGATTGATTGTCATCACGGCACTCCGGATACGCGTCCATAGGTGCTCAGACTCCCCTTCGCACATTTACATTAGCGTAGCGTGGTTAACAACGCCAGCCCTATAACAGTTACCATGACTTACATACGGTGCACCGCTCTCTACACCCAATAAAGAAAAGTAAAGATCCCTTTTTACGCCTTAGGCGCATCGGGCATATGGGAAGAGCACCTATATTTTTACAGACCAATTGGCATTAGGTGGGTAATGTGGTCAGTATTATGCCGGCCGTCTTTACTTCCCCGGGACGTACATCCTGATTTTACTACTAATAAAGTAAAAGTAAAACATCCCTTTTCCAGGCATTTAGTCATATTGGGTATATAGGGCTAGACCTATATTTTTATAGACCGATCAGCCATTGGTGGGTAATGCGGTCAACATCACACCGGCAGCCTTTACTTCCCAGGGTCCCATTGTGGGAAAAACAAGAAGATACCCACTGCCTCCCCAACCAGCATGTCGCAAGAGTCGACTAATTAGGGGTTTCCTTCGAAGGAGTGCATCTGCCTGAGAGGCAAGGAACCAACAGTCTGCATACAAACGAGTCAGCTCTGTAAAACGGATATGCACGCAGCACTCACGTTTCTGGAACAAGTCTAAAGTCCAGAGGCAGACGAACAACCAGAACTTTCTGCCGGAGTTTACAGCCGGTGAACGCGAAGAAGGAGAAGAGAGAGGAAGATAAGTGGATGCAGAGCTGCTAAAAGGATATTAATCAAAACCCAAGCTAAGCTGACCAAAAAAACCCATGCCTTACATGAGCAAAAGAACACCCCCCCCCCCCCCCCCCCCCCAAGATTGATAAAAAGTAAAAAATTATTAGTTACGAAAACAAAACATTTACCCACCTTTTTATAACGATAAATCCCCCCCCCCCCCCCCCCCCTTTCCTTTCGCCAATTTTAAAAGGCATCATACAAAAACCCAGAACTCGGTGGAAAACCCAAGTATTGGCAGCCCTGTGAATGGACGGTTTCTCAGTAGTGGCGTGTACGCGCTGCTCTCAAATCCTCCGATCGTCGCCAGTCTCTCTAAGGACATGAACAATGTCGGCACGATCCATCATGTAGTGAGTCCCAATGGGGCCCAGAGACACGGTCCATCAACTTGTGAGGTAGTGGCTGTCAGTCTGTGTTAGCCTGCAGCCTTCGCTGCTGGTGGCTCGTCGTTGGCTGCACTCCAACACACCCGTCATTCCTTCTCTTCTAAGAGAATCAGCTGTCTTAATGGTGATCTGTCTCTGTATCTTTCTGTGTCTCTGATAGTCTCTCTCTCTCTCTCTGTTCATCGCTCACTGTCTGTCTCTAGCTCTCTCTCTCTCTCTGTCTGTTTGTCTCTCTCTGTCTCAGTCCCTTTGTATGTCTTCTCCTCTCACTGTCTCTATCTGTCCGTCTTTGTCTCTGTCTCCCTCTCTGTCTTTGTCTCTCTCTCTCTGTCTTTGTCTCTCTGTCCCTGTCTGTCTCTCTCCATCTATCTCTCTGTCTGTCTTTGTCTCTCTCGCTTTGTCTGTCTTTTCGCTGTATTTCTCTGTCTCTCTCTCTCTCTCTCTCTGAATGTCAGTTAAAGTATGTATATGTATTCAGGTGTGGGTGTTTGGGTGTGTATGTATGAATGCGTTTGTATGCATAAGTGTGTGTATGTGGATATATAAGTGTGTGGGTGATTGTGTGAATGTTTATCTGTGTATGCATGCATGAGAGTGCAAGTGTGTGTGTGTGTGTGTGTGTGGATGCACCTATGTGTATGGATGTGTGCATAAATGTGACTGTGCAAGTGTGTGTATGTGTGGGTGCATAAATGTGACTGTGCAAGTGTGTATGTGTGTGTATGAGTTGGAGTGCACATATGTGTATGCATAAGTACTTGTATGTATTTGTTTGAGGGTGTATGCATTAAAGTGTGTGTGTGTGTGTGTGTGTAGATATATATATATATATATATATATATATATATATATATATATATATATATATATATATATATATATATATATATATATATATATATGCCAAAAATGTAGGACCGGCCTGCGTGGCCAATTTGTAAACCTCTGACAATAAAGTTAGTTTGTTCGTTCGTTCTCTCTCTCTCTCTCTCTCCCCCAGTATGTGTGTGTGTGTGTTACTGCGATGTGTGCATATTTCTGCATGTATATTTGAAGGTATACATTTGTCATCCATGCTTCTGTATTTTTACTCTGTATCCGCCCTTAGAAATGTGACACATGAGCATAATATGCTTTATATATAAAACACAATTGCCGTATGGAAGATTAATCTTAGAAGGGCCTAATGTAAGACGGGCATGCGTGCCCAATTTGTAACCCTTTGAAAATAAACGTCCCCACCCCCACCCCCTTTTCTCTTTCTCCACCAACATGCCAGATCTCCTCCCTATCATTTCATATTAACCTGTCAGATCTTCGCTCGCTCAATCATTTACTGTACATAATATTCTGATATAGTCATTTCATAGTTAGTGCATATTTTTGCGTGTGTGCTGTTTTGTTTTTATTTGCCGATGAAGGCTAATCGCCGCAACGTCTTTTGTTTGTTCACTGTAATTAATTTTTGTAAAGATGACAACAATATTTATGTTTTTCTTATCCTTTTTCTTCGCTTCCCTATAATTTCCTACCCTTTTTTTAAAACATCATTTCATAGACACTTTCCAGATCTTCTCGCTGTTGCTTTCTAACAATCCGCAGGACTGTTCCATCTTATTTGCTGGTCAGACCGCTTGTTTTCGGTTTACGCACTAGTTCGCCCATCTATCCCCGTCTACTCATCAGATCATCTTTCGATTCATTTATCTGTTTTCGCCTTCAACGACAAACACGCTGAAACTAACATAACCAAAGATTATGTTTATTTACAGATGAATGCTTTGTAGCAGCAACGCCCAGTTAGTTACTGTATTTTTGCAACACGGCCCATTTTCTGGCCAATACATTTCTGTAATTATTCAGTCAGTCAGTCAGTCATTATCAGCAAGTCAGTCAGAACAGATTACTTACACACACACACACACCCACCCACACACAATCTGCTTGCTTTCTCTTCTTTACCCGTTTCTTCCTTTCCGCTCCTCTCTTTCTTTGTTCGCCCCCCCCCCCCCCCACACAAAGGGCGGATGGCACTTAACGTTGCAAAATATCCAATATTCCGCAATACGTAACTCTTGTTAATGTGTCACCGTTCTCTCTTTGTGGTCAAGAAAGAAGAAGAGGGAGGAGGAGAAGAAAGATAAATAAAAGAAGAAGAAGAAGAAGAAGGAGAGGCAGCAGCAGTAGTAATAGTAGTAGTAACAGCAGTAGAAGCAGTAGCAGCAGCATTAGTAGTAGTAGTAGTAGTAGTAGTAGTAGTAGTAGTAGTAGTAGTAGTAGTAGTAGTAGTAGTAGTAGTAGTAGTAGTAGTAGTAGTAGTAATAGAAGAAGCAGTAGTAGTAGTAGCAGTAGTAGTAGTATCAGTAGAAGCAGTAGTAGTAGTAATAGTAGCAGCAGTAATAGTAGTAGTAGGTAGTAGTAGTAACAGCAGCAGCAGTAGTAGTAGTAGTA